TGAACACTTGCAGTGTATTTCAGTTTTGTCAGTTATACCTTAATAAAGCATAAAACAATAAAATACAAATAAAGAGAAATCACTGGCATTGGAGAAAAAGCCACAATAATCTGTAATCTTTTCTTATAAAAGGACAAATATATCCCATGTATGGAATATGTGTTCATAGAAAGGCAACAGGCTTCGTTGTATATAGAAAAGAACTTTCTAGTGTTATAATGTGGAGTGTTCTCTAACAGTAATTCCTGTAGTGATACTTAAAGCATTACCTAAAGAGCTTGAACCATAGTGTAAGGAGAAGAATTATAAACATGCATGGCCATGCATGTTTTAGTCCTCTTTAAAATTTTTGAATTGGACTCGCAAATTTGCAAATGTATTTTATCAAAGGAAAAATATCCTATAAAGATGGTCCCAGGAGTTCCTGGGTGGCTCAGTGGGTCAGGTGTCTGCCTTTAGCTCGGGTCATGATCCCAGGGTCCCACACAGGGGGCTCTCTGCTCTGTGGGGAGCCTGCTTCTCTCTCTCCCTCTGCCTGCCACTCTGCCTACTTGTGCTCTCTCTGTCAAATAAATAAAATCTTTTTAAAAAGAAAAGAAAAAAGTGGTCCCCAAAGTCAGTTAGCATATAGCATTGTGGATGGGGATTATGTCTAATTTCATGGTACAGGATAATATAACCACACTACCATTTGGGGAGACTTTTACAGAAAACCATGGGCAATTAATTGGATCTCGTGATTTTAAAGGTGACTGATGATCCTATCATATAGATTATTTAGTTTTCTAAAACCATCCTCAGTGGGATTTGGTATTATTAGAAGATTCTATCAGACAGCAAAGAGATACTTCAGCTTAATTCTTAAACTGTGATCTGACTTTGGAAATAGCATGCTGTTAATAACAGTATGTGAAAACGAGACTCCCCTCCACCCAGCTTCATGGTCTTGGCATGTTCATCTGCACCATCAGACTTTCCTCTCTGAGTGGTGTGGTTTCAGGAAGGGGTGTGAATAGAAGGTGTGGGGGTTGGCGAAGAGAAGCTGAGCAAAGCCAAAGACAAGATGGAAGCTAAAAAAAAATGCTAGGGTTTCTGTGAGGGATAGGACAGACCAAAGGGAAGTGTTTAGAGCAGATTACCATGGCAGACATTGGGAGTACATTTCTGAGGGTCTGCTCAGTTTGAGGTCTTTGTGGGACTCAAGTCAAAGAGAGAATTTTCCATAGAAATGAAACCTTGACATTACACTAGGCTATGAAAGAGAGATATAGTGGAGGGGTGTTTCAAAGATGATTCTTTAGCTGTGGTCAGGCCTTAAGGCTGACCTCTCTTGACATTCTGTCTCTAAAGGCTGAGTCAAGTGCCTGTGGGGTGAACTCACCTTTCTTCCTGGGTTTGACCTGCAGTAGCTGAAACGACACTTGGTGTGAAACTGGTCTTTCTAATGATACCCTACTCTGTGGGAATAGGGAGGAAAACCGTATCTTGTTTATCTCTATGTACCCCATGCTTGCCAGACACTTGTTAGTTTACAGTGTTTGTTGATTAAATGAATGGATGATTGGATAATTGTTTATGTGCAGAATCCAGATGATGTAGTAAAAAGCTTTCCCTACTGATCCATGGTTAACTTTATGAAATTAGGTATCTTCTGCCTGTTAAATGACTTCATAAATATAACCTTCAAAGTGGGCAAAATATTGGGGCACCTGAGTAGCTCAGTCGGTTAATCATCTGACTCTTGATTTCGGCTCAGGTCATGATCTCTGGGTTGTGAGATCGAGCCCCACATCGAGCCCCACCCTGGGCATAGATCTTGCTTAAGATTCTCTGTCTCCCTCTCCCCCTGCCGCTCCCTGCGGAAAATATTAAAATTCTGATGAAGTTGTAAGACTTGAAAATACCATTCATTAAATTACTGTTGTATAATCTAGTGTGTGTGTTTTTCAAAAACAATCTCTACCTTATTAGGATTTGGAGAGAACTCCTATCGACCATTAGTGCCTTTTTAAAAATATAATTAAATGGAAGCTTCCTTCATCATCACTTGAATTGTCTAGTCTGCTTATTAACATGCCCCTCACCTTCATGCCTGAATAATAGAGAAGTCCTTCTAAAATTCATTCTAACATGTTTTATATTTATTAGCCTGCTGCAATTTGATTTTCGTGTGATTTCAACTTTTTAAATTCAAGTAAGAGTCTTTGTTACAAACACAACTTTTAAAATACTGAAGAAACACCACACCATGCTTTTCAGGGATAGTAGCAAAGGATAATTCACATCTTAGATTCTTACATTAACTTCTTAGGTGGCACAAGGCTGTTAACAGGAATTTGGAAATAAGGAAGAGAAAAGCGAGAGGGACTCCCAGAGAGGATAGTTGTCAAGTTGCCCCTGGATCCCTTCAAGGGATTTTGTCAGGATGTCCCACTCTCCTTCCCATTTTCACTTTTTTGAAGAGGTGGCAATGGAGTCGGGGAGGCGAGCGGGAGGTTTCCCCTCCCACTTCAGTTTGCTTTTCTGTGGATGTGTGAGCTTATTTCCCCCACATTCCTTTTTGAAAAGTGAGGACTTGGTTCTGGGGGCCACACCTGTTACCTTACGTGGTGATGCTAGAGGCAGGAGTGGGGGCACCGCCTCAGAGAAAGTGCTGGCCTGGAATGCCTGGCAGCCTCAACAACCCTCCGCAGCCTCTTGGTTGGAGAGGAATTCTTCTCCTTTTTCCACCTTTGGAACTGCATCCCATCTCTCATTCTTTTTGTCTCACATGTCAGTGATGTTTCTTCAGAAACCATGATAGGTTGACAGATGGGTTTCTGCACTACTAATTTAATATCTCTCAGAGTGTGCTCAAATTTGCACCAGAGAGACGTCCTCATCTTTAAGTTGGATAAAGTGAGCAAGGCCTCCTCTAAGCCCTTCACAAAGCATCAGTGGAGCAGTCCCCTGCCCTGCTCTGTTTCCACCTCCCACCAAACGAGGGTGAGGACGGATGCACGTGCATGCACGCTCTCACTTGTGCACTTCCACGTCCTATCTTAACTCAGGCAGTTCCTTATGTCTGGATAGTGTTACTGTCCTTTCAGCCATCCAGATTTCTACCAAACTTTTAAGTCTCTACAAAATACTACTTCCTCTTTGAATGCCTGCCTTTGCCCAGTCATAATTTCATCTGTTTTGTGTTTTTGTTTTTTTAATTTTTTTTTTTAATTCTAATTGCCACAGATTCCTGTGAAACCTATCATGGCACTCCTACAGTACATTTTGTAGATTTTTAAAAAAATGCCTCCCTAATGCACATTTCCCCCATCAGGCCCCTGAGCTATATATAGATCAGTATGGATAGACCATCAAATCAAAATATTGTAGTTTTAATGACATTACTGCTAAATGTGTTGTGTGAGTATGTCCTTCATATAGCTTTAAAAATATGAAATATGTTAACAAGAGGTTATCCAATCCTGTAGAGAAACTACAAATATTAACTATTTAGGGAATAAAAAAAATCTTCCTTTTAGGTAAAGCTTGACCAACTAACCCTATACTTCCTGTAATTGATTTGATGGAATCAGTGCTAGAAAATAGTATGAAGAACTATACAAAGATAGGACTAATGTTACAGCCATAGAGTTGATATTGCAATTTGCATTTGCTTGGCTTCATTTAAGATCATTACCTTTGTTATCTGAGTTTGTTTTTGAGGTTGATTTAGAATTACCTTTCAGTGTTGAGTTAACTTGAAAAATCCCCTTTGCTGAGATTTTATGGCTTAAATGATTAGATTTCTATGTCCACTAGTGTCCTTAGAGCACTAGGAAGGAGGCCTGCAGCTGTGTTTCAGTTTCTGTAGCACTGTTTCTGAGGCTGAGAAACATCAGTTGTTCACAAAGGGGAGGGGTAAGTAGGGGGATGCAGGTGAGTAGGGGGATGTAGGTGCTAATCCATAGCATCAAGTGCATGACTTGACACTTCTTTTGCTCTGCTTGGGTGTGAGGAGGTAAGGGCCTGTACTACAGTGGGAGGGATGGAGAAAAAGGAGTGGGAAGATATCCGAAGGAAACATCTAGAGACTGGAATAAATTGTCTACAAGATTGGAATGGCTGGAAAAGGATGATAAGGGAATGAAATAAAAAGCAAGCGCTGAGAATTTGGGGAGCGACCTTGGGTGGGGTGAGGAATGTATATTTACCTAAGTTAACTAGAGTTATCTCCTTTGTGGTTTATCCATAAATTCTCTTTCAGTCTTTATTAGTGGCCCAATAGAGGTACAAAGGCTCTGATAAGAGGTGGGCAATTGCCTTGTTTTCTTCTCTTGACTTTCCTGCATCTTTTCAAACCTTAAAGCATTCAGCTAGCTAAGCAGAAAATGGACAAAAATAAGTTTGAATCCTTGCCCCCATCTCCTTCCTTTATCTTCCAAAACACTGTCACCTCAGGTAAAATAAAATATGGAGTTCCTTACGGAACCCACTAGAAATTCTATAAATTAGCCCATATTTCAGGCTGAGGAGGAAGGCCACTTCCTCCTGGAAAAAAATGAGGATCTGAGAAGAGCTGGCTTGCAAGGCAGGAGGGGGAAGATGGAGAATTTTTCCCCAGTTTCTTGAGCTGTTGATATCATGGATGTCCTTTATCTTACTCTGAAGGCTTTTGAGATTCCAGAACATTAGCAAACATACACGCACTGTATGTATAGCGAAAAGTAGTGTTCAAATATATATTTGAACAAACAAGTACGCGGTTTTTGTTACCTCCTTCAAAAAGTCCAGCCATGTGTTGTGCAGGGGGCATGCCTTTGGTCCTGCTCTTTGAGTGAGAATCAGAAGAAAATGGGCCATGTTGCCATTTCCTCCTTCAGCACCAGTTGCTCCCCCAGTATTGGGGGGAGGGGTCACACCGGAATCCTAGTGCATTGCTGATCACACACAGCACAACGACACATGGAGATACAGGTTTGTTTTCCCTCATTCTCATCTCTCTCTTTCTGTCCTTTCAGGTGCACACATCTTGACCAACTCAGCAGGAAGGTGGATTTTCTTTGGGTTTAAAGAAAAAAAAAATGTCCCTGTGTCTGTAGAGATGATTTGCAGTTCAGCCCGGCTGAAGCTGACCGAATGAGACTATGGGCTGTGCCTCTGCCAAGCATGTTGCCACTGTTCAAAATGAAGAGGAAGCCCAGAAAGGGAAGAACTACCAGAACGGAGATGTGTTTGGTGGTGAGTGCCATTGAACTTTAATCTTGACCTGTTGACCCAGGCCTTTCACTTTCTCAGGAGTGAATATTTGTAGTGTTAGTGGTGTTACAGTTTTGGGGGGGGCTGCTGGTAACGGGCTGATGAGATATGGCTAGAAATCAATGCAGATATTTTCCGTGGGGGCAATTTTCATAATAATTTATACATAGAGGATTTTGAGGAGCATTATGGAAGTTTTATATAGAAACTAGCATTTAAATCAAGTTTTTAATAACTAGTAGGACTTAAATAGTGCATAGGACAAGCAGCCACACACAGGTTCAAAAGTGGAGTGAATAAGGATATGTAAATGAGAGGTAAGGTGTTTTTTTAGGGTTTATAGTTACTTTTCATGTGAATTATAAACTTTCAGGTTAAAAAAATACAAATACAATGAATTTAATAATCATCTTTTAACTTACGATGATTCAAAGTGACTTTAGACTATCCAGTGCAAAGATTACAACCTGCCAACCCATGGCCACATCTGGCTTGCAAATAATATTTTCTTTGGCTCCCAGAGAATTATGAAATAAAAAGCCAGGCAGCATTTAAAAATCAGGATGCTTCACATAAAACCCCAAATTGCTTCAGAAAATCTGGCAACACCAAGTCTGCATTCTCTGAGGCAACAGTCAGTGGGTTGAGGTAGCAGTGGTCCCTTGCATCAGGCTGTGGCCTCCAGGGAACCACTGAGCCTACCCTGGAAAGTTCATCAAGTCCCCTTCACTCATGAATGTTACCTGCCTGGCCACTTACAGACTTTTGAGTTTGTCTGGTCATGAGTTTGTTCCTTAGAAGATCAGGTGTTGCTCTGGTGCCACATGGCTATGAGTTAGCCCAAAGTTCCAATTAGGAAGCTAGATATAGCCATTCTGCTGAATTCCTTGAATAGTAATAACCCACTACTTGGCCCATGCCTGGCACTCCTGTTCGTAAAAGTACCTCTCCTTCGCTAAATAACCACATTGAAATAATGTTTACATGTAAACAACTGAAGTGGCTTTGTCCAGTCACTGTCCAATAATCCTCCTGCATTTTGGTCCATCGTAATGGTTGTGTCCATCCTTGGTAGAGAATTGGGATGCTGTGGGAAGACTCATGCTCTGCTAAAAGGGAGCTAGTATATATGAGAGGAGGATTTTGTGTTGTGTCATTTCAAGGAAACGTATGTGTTGCCTGGAACAAATTTGCTTCTGGCGGTGACTGCCTAGAAAATTCAGGACTGTGGAGAAGAGTCACATGTGAGCATCTAAATAAAACTCAAATTCAGATCACTGAGACCAGTTTCTGGGAAAAGAGTTCATTGGAAGTAGAATCATTCTGTTACCCTCAAACACTTCACTTTTAAGAGACTGTAATATAATATCGAGGATTTGTTCAAACTAACTTCTACGTGATACTCTGTTGTCATTATCGTTTTTGTAACAAGACTGCCATTAATGGAGCTGCCACCATATGTCAAACCTGCAGAAACATTTACATTCATTTTTATGGTGAATTTTCACAACAATCCTGTGAAAGATGTGCCATCCCAGTTTTACATATTTGGAAGCTGAAGCACAGAGAGATGAACTGGTCCCAGGTTGGCCGGCTATGAAGCCACAGACTCAGGTCTCTCTGACTCTTCCAGAATCCATGTTGCTTTGTCGGTGTCATTGCCTGGTGCCCTGGTGACTCCCATTGGTCACTCATTCTTCAATGCACAAAGGTATTGACTGGCCTGTACTTGGTATGCCAAGACCTTTTGCTAAATGCTGCAGAGGGCACAGAGGTAAATAATATGTAAACCTCCCTTTCTAGGACTTAGTAAGAGGATGAGGAAATGTTATGAAGCAGAATAATCCAAATACCAGGAAAGGAAAAGACATACATCATAGGTAAGAGTTAGGGGGATGGAGAGGCTGTCTTAAAAGGTGGGACCAGAGCAGATTTCTCACAGAGGTGACATCTGAAACTGGCCTTAGGGGACCTGAAGAATCTAAACTTGTTGGATGAAGGGTGCAGGGAGGAACTAAAAAAAGAAAGGCTAGAGGTAATGTGAGACTTACTCGAGAATTATAGATGATCCAGTTTCAATGAAATATAAAATTTAAGTGAGAGAATTGGCTAGAAAACTAAGTTAGGGTTAAATTATAGAGAACTTTGAATACCAAATTACAATCTTTAGAAAGATAGACTGTAAGAGCCAAAAATCAGTGATATTCGGTATATTGTATTTATATGCTGCCCAGCAATGAGGCCACCTAACTATCCAGCTGGTAATTTAGTTTCAGCTTTTATAGGCGAGGAGACTGTCTATTATCCTAAAGTACCATAGGTATTTGGCAAATGTTGGCATCTAATAAAGGAGCCTTGTATTAGTCACCTATCGCTGGGTATTGGACAACCTTAAGACCTCAATGGCTTTCAACAATGAGCGTGTCTTTCTTGATCACGAGTTGGTGAGTCAGCTGGAGTGGCTCTGCTTCATGTCTCTCTCTCATCTCCCTCCTGGGACCAGTGAGCTGCAGGAGGGGGCATGGTGGGGGGAGGTGGCATGCTCTTATTTTGCGGAAGGGTAAAAGTGCAAGCGATGCACAAGATGCCTCTTAACCTTGGGCTTATTGCTGGCACAGCATCACTTGCACCCACATTTTACTAGCCAAATCAAGTCACACGAATGTGCTCAAAGGCGGGAGAAACACATCTGACGGCCATGCATTCGTGACAAGGGTGTGGATGCAGAGAAGGGTCAAGAATGAGGGCTAACAATTGAGTCCACCCCCAGTCTGCCCAGTCATTGCTAGCTGCAGGGCTCCATGCCATTTGTGCCATTGAGTGCAGTCTGTTAGCTTTTTTTCAGTCTCCCAATACTTATACTGAAGTTTTATTCACTCCATCATTCATCATCTTGTTACTCTTTCTCACATAAACATTTGCAGGTTTGTGGCATGGTGTTAGATAAAGCAGACAAAGAGGGCCAGAGTTTCTTGAACCCATCAAGGGAGATATTTTTTGGTAGTCCCACAGGGTTCTGGGGGCAGAATTGTCAGTGCAGCATGAACATCAGTGCCATTATCTAGATGTTACTGAATGCGAGAGTTTGTATATCTGCATTTCTCCACTTGCATTTTAGTTTGCAGGCAGAGCAAGTGTTCAGAATCCTAGCATGATCACAGATGGTCGCAGGTGACTAAGCAGATTTGGCTCACTTTTAACCACTTGATATCTCTGTCACCGATTGTTTCAGTAACTTATTACCTTATAACAAAGAACTCCACAACTAGTGGCTTAAAACAAGTACTGATTTATTATTTATCACAATTCTGTGAGGTGCCTAGGGTTATCTGCCGTTTTTGTCTGGGTTCAACCAAATAGCAGCATTTAGCTAGGAGCTCAGTGGGGCTCAAGCAACCGAGATGACTCTTTCCAGCTAGAAAGTCAAACCAAGGTTCTCTTTCCAGCTAGAAAGTCAAACTTTTCACGAGGTGGTTGGTTTTTAAGAGAGGAAGTAGAAACTGTCAGGCCTATGAAGACCTACCTTTGAAAGTCTAAGAATGTCAGTTTTGCTCATCCTGTTGGTAAAAGCAAGTTTCAAGACCATCCCAGAGTCAAGAGAGCTAGAGGTCTCCATCTGTTGAGTCTAAGGAATTGTTGGGAGCCATCTTTGGAGACTCGTTACCTCAGCCACTGAGAGAGGCAGTGAGAATGCCATGACTAGGTTATATTCCAACCTGGACAGTTCCAGTCTGCTTTCTAAATCACTGCTCTGTTTTTCACTGAATAAAGTTGCCTCATTCACTTTTTAGAAGTCGTTTTTAAATGTTTAAAAAATGTTATTACTGCTTGTTGTTGAAGAGTTGACAAAGTCTGTGAAGGATGGCATATTTGAGGATGGCTCTGAAGTATGTGTCTCTGAGTGTGTACACACACACACACACATTTCAATCCTTTTCCTAAAGGTGTGAATTTAATTTCATAGCTTCTAAGGACACGCTGGGGAGCGTTGATAAACAGTGTGTTTTTACAAATGGTAATTTCCATTTTCATAAAGCAGTTTGGTCTCCATGACGTTGTGGTTATTTAGGAGACCAACCACTCCAAATATGTGTGACAGAGTATCTGTAGAATATTCCACCATAGAGGATTAAGTGACAGAGGGGCATCCTGGCTCCTAGATTTCATGGAATTCAGGAGATCATTGACAAGGGACTTTTATCACTGACATTTACCTATAGACTTTCTTTCCCTTTAAATACTGAAACATAAAAAGTTCCAGGTCTAAAGTTATGCCTCACATACATGTAGCCTGTTCAGAAGTAAAATCCAGTCCAGAAAGCTCCCTCCCTTCCTTCAGTGGTCAGGGCAGATAGGAAGAATGGTCAGCAGATCTGCTGAGGTCAGTTGGAGGACAGCTGAGCAGACTGCCAAAACCAGCTTGCAGAAAATGAATGACTGATAGGTTCAAGTTATCATGCACTAGTTAAGCAAGTTCTAAGGGAAGCCAAGTGCTTATTGGATTTCTTTCAGTAGCCATTCACATAGACTATTCTGGTAGGTGCAGGGGAACAGATTCAGGCCTTACTAGGAAAGTTAACACATCAAACCTGAGGTCCTCTATTCTGCAGCCCACCGCAAGGAGAGAAAGCCCTTTACTTATATTGACTTTACTATTTGCCTGAAGGTCACCACGTTCTTCCAATAATACAGGCTTTAATCTTGAAAGGGCTTTAAACTGGAGGCTTTCGTGTCTTCTAGGTCCCAGCTCCTGTGAGTCTTGTGGCTCTCCCCAGAAGCTCTTGCCCTGCTGCCACCGCAGCCCCAAACCCAGAATAGCACATCGTCCTCTGAATGGATCTTCATTAGCCCCCTTGGTTGTTTGTTCATGTGTTTGGTTTCTGTTGTTGTTAGCTCTTAATTCTGATGGTTTCTTGCCCTGTGGTCAGATTCTGTCAAGTTTTTCTAAGTGCTCCTCTGCGCATGTTCATTCTCTTGCTCTA